TTTGTTTTGTTGGCTTTGAGGGGAAACCAAAAGGAAAACCAACTACCAACAAGCGGTGCCCTATTCTCTTCCAACATCCACAGGTCTGTCCTCCGACCTCCGGGTAAGTATCATGCTTCGATTTTCAATCGATCCAGGAGCTCCGCGACGTGGAGCTTTGCATCAAGCAGGCGGTGACAAAAAACCGCCGGGCTCAACGCAATGCTCGCGCGCGCAGGTCGAGAGCTTTGTTTTTCGGCTTCGGCGCCTTATGGGACCCTTGTCGATTTTGGGGCAAGACCGTCAGGCAGAAGGTGTGGGCGCATCCCAAGTCAGGCCCCAAGGCCTTCTCAAGGCCGAAACATACTTCAAGGAGAGAAGGGAAAGGGCGGGAGGGGGTGGCTATCCCAGCATCCCCAGAATCCCAAATTGACTGAGGGAGCATAATCAAATTTACCTGGAGTCTCCATGCTCCTTGAAGAAGGCGGTGACGGCTTAGTCTTTGTAGACCTCATTTGTTGAGGGTGGAGACTCCAGGTACTGTTATTTAAGTAGACTGCTACAAGCCTCCTGGGAAAAAATTAATAATATATATGTATATATATTATATAATGCAACTTTCTGGGAGCAAAACCCATCATATTTACCTAGAGTCTCCAGTCTCCAATCGGTTTTCCCCTTGCTCCCCATGGCTACCGGTGGCTTCTCTCCCCCGCTTCCCCCGTCTCCGCTCCGCCTCCAGCCTCTCGGCTCTCGCCTCTCGGCTCTCCGCAGGTGGCGGCGGTGCCGCGGAGTGAGGCGCGGCTGAAGCTGCTGCGCCTGGCGCGGAGTTTGGACTCGCTGCACCACGCCTCCGCAGAGCTCGCGGTGCTGCGCCGGGCGCGGCGGGTCGGTTAAGGGGGGCTCCGAATGGTTGGCTCCGGGTTGGGGGGGGAAGGGTCAAAAGGGATGGAGGCGGTGGGCGAAAGTAAGGGACGAAAAGGAAGAGCCCGAAGGTGTTTGTGTTTGATGTTGTTTTTCTTTTTTCTTATTTTTGTCTTAGATGGGCGTGTGCTTTTTTGAGGGTACCCTTTGTGGGGTGATTTGAAAGGACAGCCGAAGACACACCCCAGGCATTTTGAGGGTCGGCTATTTTGAGACACATCCGGGCGGCGCGGGACTTGTCTAAGCGGATCGAAACCATGGTTTTAGAAACCCACGATGGAAAGTCACAGTTGCGTGGGTTACTGACCATTCAGCTGAGTCCAGACCATCCAAGTAACTCTTCTGAACCGAATTTGCATGTGGGCTCGCGTCAAATCCAACCTACTTTTGCCTTCCCCGTCCCCAGCTTCCCCTCGCCCCGATTCCCCTCCGAGCGATTTCGGTGCTAGGCCTGCGAAGAGCTCCTGGGCTCCAGGACGCTGCGGGCGCTGCTGGACGCCGCGCTGGTGCTGGGGAACTACATCAACGGCGACGCAGGCGCCGTGGAAAACGGGCGGAAGCGGAGGGCGGGGGGGCGTTGAGTGGCGGAAGGGGTGGGTGGGGGGGGAAGAGTGGCAGTGGGATGGTTGGGGCTTTTGGGGGAACTGGGGGCTGTGTCTTGAACCCCGAGTTTTGAGGGCTGTGTTTGCGCGGTTTGATGATTGTTGTGTTTTTTTTGTCAGTGGGAGAGGGGGACACGCAACATACCCTTGCTGGAAGGGCCCCCGAGACCACCAGAAGGGATCCTCGGAATGGACCAATGCAAGGCATTCACAGTTCCATTTGGGGAAGGGCGGGTGGGTATTTTTTGGGGGTACCGGGGTACCCTCTTGAGGTTGTTGTAAAGGGAAACCAAGGCAAACCCACCCGTTTTAGGGAGGTCCCTGCAATAAAGCCACCAATTTACTGTAGGGAAGTCACTAACATTTGGGCAACCGGGGGCCCTGGGTGTGCAGTCTCTGTCCGACGCTAATCGAGCCTTAACTTGTTTGTCCCATTTATGCCATTCTCAGGTTCACCTGCTGAGTCCTGGCAAGTGAGTGGGATTTTCTCATTTCTCATTCTCCCCTAGCAGGTTTTCTTTGGGAGTTCAGACACTCATACAGAAAGGGAGCCATCTCGGCTCTCGGTAAACCCACCAGGGTGCTCGATTCTGCCAGGGGCTGTGGACTGGGCAGGTTGGTTGGTGTTGCTCAAGCGTTTCCCTGCGGTCGAAGGAGTTTGTGTTGTGATGCAGTGATGCTGCTGATTTTGGGGGGGCGAAGTTGTTTGAGGGTTCTGGTTGTGGTGGTGCTGAGTAATTTCCGTGTGGATTTGTTGGCCCCTGTCCCTCTAAGCCTGCGTCGTAGGTTCCGCCGTTTCCTTTGTTTTGGTGCCAGAACTTCTGGCCAGAACCCTTTTCTCCCTGGATTTGGTTGTGGACCCCTGAATCATTCAATCATTATTTAAAGGCCAAGCAAATTGAGCGAGTTTGTCCTTTGGGGTAGTGTTTTTCAGGTTTTGGTTGCTGCATTGCTTTGGGCTACCAGCGGTCCTTCTGGCACTGAGGTTTTTCTCGAAATGGGTTGCACAAGCTAGAATTGGGCTCTAGCTGTCGTTTGGAGTCCATTGGAAGATACCGAGCCTTCAAGTTAACATTACCAATCTTCTCTCATTGATTGGTCGGTTAACTTGTTCCAAACAAAACGCTGAGCCTCTTAGCCTGTCAAGGGAAAGCAACCCCTGGCACAAACACGCCACCATCGCTAGCCACTTGCGCTCGCAAGGAAATTCGATGCTTACCTGAATCATGGGCACTTCTTTGTGAGTACCCCTAGGTGGCGAAGACTATTTCTCTTCCCCTGAACTTCTCTGTTGTCCCTTTCTCGATTCGAATCGGTGAGTGTCTGAGCCTGTTTGCCAAATGCCATTTACCCTTTGCCAAATTGTGAGGCACAGTTCAGCCATGTCCGTGTGAAGGGTACAGCAAGTGTTATCTGGACACGCACCTAAAACCTCCCCCGCATCTTTTGGGCGCACCCACTTGATGAAGACAAATCCAAAGGTTTTGTGGCTTCCTTCCCTCATTCTAAGCCAAAGAAGGGGCATAGAAGGGGCACCACAAGGAAGCCCTGGCCGTTTTATGACTCCCATGGCTCCCTTCCCGCATTTGTCTATGGGTCAAAACCCCGTACCCCCAGTAAACATCCCAATCCCCACTAAAATAGACTAACATGGGTGGTGCACCTACCCCAAAGTGGTACATTCGAGCCAAACCCGAAGCAACATCAGCAGCTCAGCGCACGCGCAGGCGCGGGCTTCTCGCTGGACGCGCTGGCGCCCTCGCTGATGAGTTTGAAGGGCGAGAAGGGCACCACGGCGCTGCACTGTTTGTGCGCCAACCGCGCCCAGGAGCTTTCGGGGCTGGCCATGTGCATGGAACCCTATGCTTTAACACATGATGTTCGCTTCAACTGGAGGGTCGCTGGTCCCAGAAGCAAAGTACTGGAGCAAGGTGAACCTGTTTTGCCGTGAATTCTACTGACTTATCTGAAAATGGAAGGGGTCCCCCTGCAACACCATCTTCTCGTGATCCATGTTAGACTAGCAGCCAAAATTATCTAGATGTGGCTCACCTGATTTCCCCTCTGCCAAATGGCCCACCGCAAACTTGCCCCAGATCTCTCGATTCTCTGCTTCTTTCCCCCTCTGCCAACTTCCCCCTCCCTCCCCCTCCCCAAACCTCCGCGCAAAAACTCCCTCCCAAAAGGCGCTTCCCCCCGCTCCAAAGTTCGCTCCCCTCAAACTCGCCATCCAGTTCTCGCCCCGAAATCTCCTGGGCTGTCAAAAGCTTAACTTTTAGTGAATTGCATGGAATTCATTTCCCACTAAACACCTAAAAAGCTAAACAAGCTAAGGAACCGGATGGTGGGAGCCACCAAGTAGTCTCCGACTAAGTCAAAGCTAGGGGGATGGCTGGGGGTTTCTCGCTTGTGTTCTCTTTAACACCACCCCCACCAGAACCGGGCTCATTATTTTGATTGTTTCGAGGGGTTGTTTCCCTTCAACCCACCACTTAGGGGGTGACTTTGATCCTGGTTTAAAAAAGAAAGAAAGAAGAAGAACAAAAAGTGAGGCCACCAGCCACCAGGATTCAGCTGACGAGTTTTGACTGGCCAAGGGTAGCACTCCCAAGCAGTCAGGAGGATCCCTTCTTCTGCTCCAAGCTCCACTCAGAGCTCGCGAGCTTGCCCGGAGCCCGGGAACTGGATTTGCTGCGAAGGGAGGGCCGGGGAATGGGGCGCTGTGACCGGTGAACCTTCCATTTTGGGTAAGAATAATATGTGTTGTTGTTTTTGGGTTGGTTTTAAATGCGCATATCTCCAGTGGTGATTGAATCCCTTTGAAAGGGATTCAATCACTACTATACAAATATGTTTGTTTTTCTAGGGACTCAAGCAACTGGAGGTAACGGAGTCCGTCCAAAAGGCGGAGAAGGTGCCGACGTCCTCCTGACGCTCTCGGTCCAACACTCGACGTTTTCATGCCCTTCACGGGAGACGTATGCGCCAATCGCTGTGGTAGAAGCGTCATTCTCCTAGGAATCCGCATCTTTTGCTGAGTGCAAACCAGGAGGACGTGTGTGTGTTTTTTAGCGGACCCTGAAAATCGGTTTTCTTTGTTTTTCCTTTAAACTCAGAAACAAGGGTACCCTCAGAAAGTCACCCCCGCATCAACATACTTGAGAAAACACACCGAGTTGCGCCTGTTGAGGTTGCCTTTCTTTGGCCCTGATTTCTCTCCCCCCCACCGATGAACCGCAAGTTGGGCCTTTCTTCCTGAGACTTCTTAGGCATCATATGAATCATATGGCATCCCAAGAGAGACTCATCCACAAGGTGCCATGTCAAGTTCCATGCCCGTGTTCAGTGATACCGTGATACCATTCATTCCATGGGGCTGGGCCGCAGTGCCCCGAAAACCCGATTTGTTGCGGCCGATTCATTCGACAGGGTGGAAAGTTGGGCTTAAGCTTTCGATGGAGTGGCTGAGCACCGAACATCAAACGCACAACTTGACAGATGCCTTTGTGTTTTGTTGGCGTCCTCCGAATGTGTGCTTTGCATTGTTGGTTTGCTTCACGTTTGCTTTGTTGGTGTGTGTTCCTAAGCGGGCCTTCTATTCCATGACATCTATGTACCCCCTTGAAGTTAGGATTGTGGCAGCATGTGGTTCCAGAGTGTGATTCAGAGGGCAAAGTCGGTCGAGAAGAACATGATTACAATGTAGAAGCTTTGTTTTCGGCATAATTTTGCCACTGTTGTCCTTCAGAACAAGCACACACACTCACACAGCACTTTGTTTTGCATGGTTGGTTCACACACACAGCAAGCCAGCGATGTGTTCGCAATATTTTGCATCGTTCAGGGCGCTCTTGTTGGAAGATGGGATATCTTTCTGCAATTGGCAGCTCCCCCCAATACCTTCTTGACAGGGAGTGACTCTGTGCCAAAGCTAAAACTTTTGGGATTGCTTTAAAACGAAGCCATAACAAAACTGGCTGTTTGGAGGGGGGCGCAGACCTCCCGAGGAAGACAGCCTCCCAGATCTCGCGGGGACTCCCAGATGCTTTGCCCCAGAAGCTCAGGTCAGAGTCCGTGCCCAATCAGAAAAGGAGTCAGCATTCACGTGCCAGTATTTGCAACCAATACAGCGCAGGTATTTCGAAAGCCTCTAGTTCAATGCGAAGAACCGACAGGCGCAGCCCACAACTTTGAGACATCCAGTTGGCCAACTTCCTCCGTTCAGTGGGGCTCACTTTGTGCTTGGGTGGTTCCAGGCAACTGGCAGCAAGAACGACGGCGAAGCGAAGCGCCACGTGACGCGAAGCGAATGGCCAGGGGACACCTGAGCAATGAGAACTTGGCAGCTTCTGAGTCTTAAAACAAGCAACGCGTGATTTGTTTTTATTTGTTTTTATTATATTTTTTTTTATATTTTTTTTACGTAGACCAATGTCCGTTGATATGCAGGTTACCTCTTGTTGATACATATATCACAGGGCTCCACAGCTTTGTAACTCTAGTGGAACACTACGAGTAACAAAGACACCGCAGCATTCAGTACATGGTGTGAGGCGTTGTTGCTATTTCTGGAAGGTTAGGCTCAATCCAAGTGTGATGCACAAAGTACGACATGACCAGCGAGGGCAACAATTCCCAGATTGCCATGTAAGTCGTATTGCATCCAGCTGGTGGCGATTTGTACCTAACCTTTGTAGATGAATAGTTCTGGCCGGAATATGTAGATGGTTGGCGTATTCATTTCCAGACAAGTACACCAACCTTGGTTGGTACAAAGCTTTGGGTTCGCCTTAGGGCTAGGGTTGTGGGATCGCGTCTCCGTTGTGTGATGTTGAAACGGCCCAAGCTTTGGCGTTGCCATTCGCCCGATGAACATGATGAGGCCCAAAAAAGGGTGGTTTCTCCGCGTTTTCGCTTTGTCTCGCGTTCGGGTCATGGGGGCGCCACGCACTCCTGGCGGGGGGGGGGTGGGTGCCTGCTGCTCTTGAGGGGTGGGTGCCGGACTTCTCCAGCCTGAAAAAGTCCCAGGCTCGGAGCGCTCTACGAAGCCTTGAGGCGGGTCAAGGAGGATGTGCAGAGTGCCCGGGGGCCCGGACCTCTTCGTCCTTCATATGGCCATGGGTCCAAATCCAAATCGTACCCCCAGTGAGCATCCCAATCCAACCACTGAACTTTCGTACCCCTTTTTGTTTTTTTTTGTTTTTTTTGGGGTCCCAAAAAAGGTATTGCTTTGCTTGGGTCCTAAATGGGGTGGTGCACAAATCCCCCAAAATGGGACGGTATTGACAACAGCCATATGGAGCCCCAGACAAATGCGGAACAGCTTCCTCAAATTGGCTTTGCAAAATCTGAGCAGCACGTGCTTCTGGAAATTCGCAGGCCGTCGGAGCTCATGCATGGGCTGCGTCTTGTGTCGGTTTGAGTTAGCAGCGTTGCATTCGGTGCAGCCGAGATTTTGTATATGGCTATGTGTTTTTGGTTTGCTAGGGAACCACCGAAAAAGCGATTGGTGGACATGAATCCCCACCTACTAAAATTCAGACCCATGTTGCAACCTTTGATTTGTGACGATTTGCGGCACAATCGAGCGATTTGGGAAGTGAGCATGGTTTGAAGATAGATCTCAACCTGCCTTGATTACATGAGGACATGGTGGAGAAAGATCCTGGGTTGGCCCACATGCCTTGGACTTAAGCGTTTGAGATCCTATGGCTCCGTAAGGGTCGTCTGCCCAAAGTGGTCAACATCACTGGGAGATTTCTTTGTCAACGTTGAAACGCCTTGCCCACAGCGACCTTGTGGCAGACTCCATGCAGTTCCTTTCAGATGAGAGGCTTCTGTCAACTTCCTGTCTTTTCGTAGGACCTCAGAAGGGACTTCCTGGCTTGTTGGCAGGAAGGCAACCGTTAGCAAAACTAGCAACTGCCTTCCTTGACGCTTCAAGCAACCAAGTATGCTTACAGAAGATAGATTCGGTCGGGAAACATGCCTGCTGCAGCCGGAAGTGTATGTTCGTTGCATGTCAAAACGGGCTCCTTCCCTCATGATTGATGAAATGCTTGATCTATGTTTGTGAGGAAACTGTCTTGATCAGCGCTGATGCACCTCCGACTGTCCGGCTGTGAAATCGTACATCCCCGAAAGCTTACACGCGCCCCACGAATTACTTGCAGAGGAAAGCCCGCCAAGAAATGCCAAATGCATTTCAATCAAACCGCAGAGAACACCCAAAACCAACTTCCATGTTTGCAGTTTGTGGTCCCAGCTGGCTGGGTTTTTTTGCTGGAAGAGAGGTAACTGAGAAGGACATGGATGACCGTTTTGCTACAACCTTGACTGTGGCATGTTCCCAAGCGTCCTGACATAAATTGTTCCCCCTTGCCAAGATCGACCATTGCAGCGTCATGTCCTTTCCGAGGCTTCCCACCTTTTTTGTTTGTGGTCGAGTTTCCGTTTGGGAGGTTCAGTTTCATGACTATCGGAGGTTGCACCCCCCCCTCCCCATCCCGTTTTCTGAGGGTGGCCTCGTTATGCATGTTTGTTGGGAGGATTCTCCCTCCCCCCCCCTCTATCCCGCCTCATTTTGGGACTCCCCCCACTTTCTTGTTGTGGTTGGAGCTTTCGCTTTCCCCTTCGGCTTGCTGGTTCTCAGCTGTCCACAAACCAAAGGTTTCGTCAAGGGAGCCCTCAGGTTCATTCCTAAAACTGTGGATTCCATACTGAGCGCCAGCAAGACAAATGAATGAATGATCCAACCAAACACATGGACCATAGACCAGAGACAATCGGCTATGAATTAAGATTCAGCCCCAAATCCAACCAACCCCAAACCAAGACACACAAGCATATGTTGGTGTTTTTGTTGACCCAGACCACAAAATACAAACCCAAATTCAGACCCCATTGCGTTTTCGTGACTCCAAGCTGGCTTCAGGCCGCAGAGGAGCTCACGCAGCATGGGGCCTTGTACGGCAGCAGCGTGGAGGTGGAGGAGCTGGAGGCGAGGTCCACTGGCGGTTCGCTTCGAGCGGTTCACTGGCGGGTCGGCCCCAAAGCCAAAAGTGGCGCGGGTACAGCCCACCTTGCGTGGTTGTTGTTGGAAACATTTTACATGTTTGCTTCTTGTGGTTTAGTGGTTGAAATCCCATTTAGCTGCTAAAACTTGAGAATTGTTGCTCCCCAAACCCAACGTCAACCCACCTGGGGGAACTTGGAGACATGAGCTAGGTCCCCCAGCTAGGTGCCCTTTTACCAACTTTTTTGGGGGAGGGTTCCCCTACTAAAGTAGACTACAAACAAAAGGGTACCCTTATTCTAACCTCTCTACTGGAGGACCTAGCATGACAAGCGGGAAATAGCCGAGAACTACTGTGCATGCTTGCGAAAACCATTTCGCACCAAGGAGCCCTGGTTTCTGATGATTCCCCTGTAATCACCAACAGACAATAGTTTCAACCATGGTTTCTTTCCGTGGTGCGAAGGGATTAACGGCACCCATCCACAGGTCACATATCATCGGGATGACAAATAATTTCGTCTAAACCTGCTGGTGTTTCTTGGCGGTCGTTTCATGTAAAAGACATTGAGCTTTGGGCGTCTATGGCAAACCAGTACACAAATAGGCTTGTGTAATAAAGCCTCCAAGCCCCATTGTGCTTATTTATACAACAACCTAGGGGTTTCATACAAAGCAAGGCTATGGGGTGCGGTTGTTGCGGCAGGTTGCTCTTGGCTTTTCAAAAAAGACAAACACAGCCTAAGGGCGCTCCAGCAACAACACACACACACACACATGCTGCGTGGCGCATAGTTTGTTGTAGTATGTCATGGAGTCTTGTTGACTAGCTCCCTGCCATGATATGACCAAATATTATGTGATGTTGGATCATGGTCTTGGCCAAGCCAAGGTCATGTCTTGTTGAGTACTCCTTGGGAAGCAATCCAAGGTAAGCTGAGTCCACTCCAAAGCTGTTCGCTGGATACCCTCCAATGAACTCCTTGTGGAGGGCGAGCACGTTGCAGTGGACCACGGTTTTGGTGGCTTGAGACCATTCCCTGCCCTCACTTCCCGAGTTCCTGGACTTGAAACTTTTGGGAAGACCATTTTGGTGGCAAACAACAAGTTTGGACTTGTTTGGTTCCAGGGCTCTTGTTTAACAATCCGCTTGCATTCGAATGACAAGGCCTTTCACCACGGCAATGTTATTAAGGCCCCACTAGTTCCACTGGTGCCGGGTGAACATTTCTTGAGGAAACCAATCTCGCGAAGCTCGAACATGACTTGGTCACTCGGGGCCGAGTTTGTGGCTTAACGAATCTTATTCAAAAATGTAGGTGTGCTGTTTTGTGGGATCCACACCCCTTCTGGTACCGTTCGAGTTCCCAGAGGGTCCCTTCATACACTTTGAGTATGGCTTTTTGAGGGTTTCAATGGGTTTGAAGCACTTCCCCGAAAATTTAGAAGATACTGTACTTGCACCCTTAGTCAGCTTCCCCCGAAGTGGCTTGGCTTGGTTTGCTTTGGTTTTGACCCCAACCCACCGGGGTGACGATATGCTGACGGCACGGCACGGCCAGGATGTCTCCTTCTCTCCCATCCAGCCATTGGGCACCAAGCAGTGCCAAGGCGGGAAGGCCGTGAAGCGGTAAGATTGGCGCAGGGTTCCGCTTTTGTTGACACGGGAACGAAATCCAGAAATCGCACCACCGTTCAGAAAGCCTGGTTTCTGATTTGATTCCCCTGTAAATACTAACAAACCATGGGTTCATTTGGTTTGAAAGTGGTGCAGGATTTCGTCCATCCACAGTATGTTGGGGTAGACTTCAACCCAGGGATGTCCCTTTTGGGAAAATCAACCACCCCTGATTTTTAAGTCTGCCTTGGGGTAGTCAACAGGCGGAACCCTGCTTTGGTGGTCAGCACACAGATTCAATGGGATCCATCCATCCCCCAGCCCCTTGGACGATTTCATTATTTGAGGCCGGACAGGGGGTAGGCCAAGGGGCTCCTAGAGATTGGGCAGGTGTGCTTCTTTTCGCAAATCGATGGGTTTCCCGGTGCATGGAATAAAACCATCTAGACCAGTGGAACCCTATCTATTTCCAACCAATCGATCAAAAAGGCCCCCTACTGTGGGTGGTTGCCGTTAATCCCTTCGCACCACGAATTGAAACCGTAACATGTGTTTGACATTGTAGCTTGGGTGGTGCAACATGTCTTACTTTTGAAACCATGGTTGAAATCGCAACGTTGGCTTGGTATTTACGTCGGGGAATCGTCAGAAACCATGCTTTCTTAGGGGTTGAGTCGCTTGCGAGCAAAACCAGG